GATGTGTGTGTGTGTGTGTGTGTGTGTGTGTGTGTGTGTGTGTGTGTGTGTTGGCAGGTACATGAACATACATGTTCTTCCATTATTTGCCTTTACTAGTGTGAAATTATTTATTTCCTGTTTTTACATGGGTGTAATTAAAGTTATTGGGATGAAGATGTCTTTCTAGTATATCTGTAGGGCTGGATCTCGAGACAGATTTTGTTCAAATTTGACTTTATCTTGGAATATGTTGCTTTTCTTATACATGGTGATTGAAAGTTTTGCTGGATGGTAGGTCAAGAATGGTGGCAGCATATTGAGTCTTAGGGAAATGGAACCTACTGAGTTAGAGAGCTGCATGTGGTGGAGAGCAGCCTATCTGCTCTTCATGCTGGTGGGGCCTTCGCCTGTTCTTCTGACTGTTCTGGCCTGTCCATGAGCAGCAGATTCTGCCCAGGTTTTGTTGGTGGTTTCTTACAATTCTGTAACTTCATTAAAAACACTCTGGGAATTATTCATCATGGGGTTTATAGGTTTCTCTTTCTTTTGTGTTTACTTCTTGAGCCTCACCATTGTTCTCTGTAAAGTTTTACGTCTCTAATTTCCATGCTTATGCTCTTACAATTGGGTGCCTGTGCACTAATAATAATGAACTCCTCTGCCACGTAGAGGAGTTCAGTGTTGCTAAATAGTCCTTTACTATTTAGTATAACTGGTGATAGTAGTCAGGTAAACTTGTTGCAACCCTCGATTGACTGACTTTGGTGTGAGCTTCTATAGTTTGGCTGGGTTCCTTCCTGTATTTTGAGATTAGATGCTGTTGCTGGATGTACTTCCTGGTGCTTTAAGAGGCCTGAAAACACTCCGCAATAAAGAACAGTCTCTGGCTAGGGTCTATGATGGCTGCTGGGTGGCCAGTGTTGCAAGATGTCCACCAGAGCTGACTGATACTATAGCTTGGAGTCTACATAGTCATGAATACAAAGAGCAGCTGTTGTCTCCTTTCTCAGGAGTATCTACAAGTTGGATGCAGATAAATTAACAAGTTTCATGAGCTGGCAATTATCAGTCCAAATCGTTTCTAAATATACATAAACAAGGTGCTGAGCAATACTAGACTCCCAATATTTCACATAAAAGGAGCCTAGAAATGATGGAGGAAGTATCTATCAGCCTCTAGTTTATCATGCTTAGTGTAGAAACATGAGCCTGTATAACCTCATTAACTGAAAATTTTTAGAAAAGTACATAACAGGCAAATTAATTCAAAAGACTCATTCTTCATCATTCTTATAGATCTTCTCAATTCTGTGGTCCTGTTGGCTATCTCTTCCTCATCCATGAGTTTACGAATATTCATGATATACTTCTCACTGGAATATTGTTAGATTTCTGGAGTTGGTGCATCAAGAACTGTCATTTTCTGCTCCCTTGATGGCATCAATTCTGATCTATCATCTCAATCACATTCTTCTTTCCTTCTATACTTCAGTTGTAATTTCTTGTTTAAATTATATTATTTTCATGATGAAATTTGTTTCATTATTCAAAATTCAAAATTCTCAGCTAGAATATCTTAACATGAAAGATATAACATATATATGGTATGTTGGATAACACTTACAGTCTTTGTCATAGGGTTTCTATTGCTCTGAAGAGACACCATGACCATGGAAATTCTAAGAAATGAAAACATCTGATTGAGGATGACATACAGTTCAGAGTTTTTGTAAATTAATATCACTGTAGAAAACCTAACAGTGTGTAGGCAGTCAGGATGATGATGCTAGAGAAGGAGCAGAGATTTCTTCATTTTGATCCACTGGCAGAAGAAGGAGACTGTGTTTCACACTGTTAATAGCTTGAGCAAACAGACCACAAAGTGTGCCTCCACAGTGACACACTTCCTCCAATAAGGCCACACCTACTCCAATGAGGCCATGGATCCTATTAGTGATATTCCCTATGTGCCATGTAATTAAACAGAAGAGTCTATAGGGACCATAACTATTCAAAAAACCACAGTCTTTTACACTCATCATTTCAAAATGACTCTGTTGAGTACAACACATACAAATCTACTCAACTCATGAAAGAAATCCATGACAGAACAAACAGTAATTGCACCAAAGCACAACTCTGTGAATCTATAGATTTACTCTGTTACTGATAACATTGTGGATTAGGGGTTACTCACAGAAGCAAGGGTGACTAAAACCTCACCTAAAGCACACCCCAATATGAGTGATTTTCATAAAGCCAAAACCCTGGAGCTCAGTGCACAACTTGCAGGTAGCCCAACAGGTCTTAGACATTAGCACTCAGAGCTCACTGGTCCAGGGTCTCACTCTTTCAATAGAGCTGGGAAGGGCCACTGATGAATCTTGAATGTTTTTTCCTTTGCATGACAGAGAAAGTTTGTTTACTTTCTGAATCTCCTGAACATCTCAGCCTCTTACATTGAAGAAGGGATGTATCAAATCAGAGAAAAGTGTTATACAAAGTACATCAAAGAAGAGAAAAATTGGCGATTTAGCTCTCAGGGATGAAGAAGCATCATTAAATATTTTCTCTGTGCATTTCTCTGCAGGGAGTCATAACAAGCCTTCACTATCTGCCTGGCCAAGCCATATTGTTCCTTTGGGACAGCATGTGGAACTTTGATGTGACTCTCATAGTAACTATTATGCATTCAAGTTGTACAAAGAACATGGTAATCCTATCTCTCAGATCCAGGGAAGATCATTCCAGAAGAAAATTTTCTTGGATTCTGTGACATCAGCACATGCAGGGACATACAGATGCTATGGTTTGAATTTTCATTACCCTATTAAAATATCAGACAAAAGTGACCCTGTGAAGATCATAATTTCATGTTAGAAATGATGTTTTGAGTCTCTTTCATTTCCCCAAATCTCCCAACCCTGGAATTTTCAGAAACAGTGTTAGTAAGAGGTTTGAACTTATAAAGGAATATTCAACACAGAGAAATATATAATGTTCTGGGCATTATAAGACGTAAAAGGTCATGCATTTTTCTAGTCCCTAAGGATCCCTGTATGTTAAATAAGTCAAGGAAAAATTGGTCTGGAAGATAGAACTCAGATCTTAACAAGTTGATATCAGGACACAAAAATATCCTGAATTATTTCAGGTCTGTGGAATTACAAGTGTTGATATAACAAAATAGGGAAAATCCATTTGTGGGAAAAACAAGCATCATGAGGGAGACACTGTGTCCCAAACTCTGAACATGGAGAAAGTGTACAAGTGCCAAGGAATGCATGAGACTCTAGAAGCTAAAAGGCAAAAAAATGGATGCTTTCCTAGTGATTTCAGTAGTTACTATCCCTGAAGAAACCTGATTTATGCCATTTGGGCTTCTCAGAATTCTGATCTCCACAATACTTGTATTCATTTTAACAATGAAATTTGTGGTAATTTGTTATGTTAGCAATTGGAAAATAATATAGGAACTCATGTCAAGAACAATTTTAGAAGCATAGAAGGGATGCTCTGAGAGCAATTAGGTCAGGATGCTAATCCATCAACATGTTAGGAGGAAATAATGCTTTTGATTCTGGATCAGGAATGCCTTATATCAATTTGAACCTTGCATAGGGCTAGAAGTGTTTCCCTGATAACCATGTTCAATACTAATTCCTTCATTCTGCCAAGGATTATACATCCTCCTAAGTGGCATAAAAGGACACATAGAGCAGCCTGGTGTGAAAATTGCCATGTTTCCTGCACTTTCCAGTCTTAGAAAAAGACAATAGGGCTATGGAAGTAGGGTTGAAGAGACACATTCTCACAACAAGCCAGTGTGAAAATATTGTGACAATCCTAGAGTCAGATAAGCAGGAAATGGACACAAAGTTGGAGGAGTCTGTGTCCAGAGTTGAAATAGACAAGAACAAGTGCCCTGGAGCACCAATAGGGAGCACAGAACAATTGAGGAAGAACCATAGGTCTTCAAGGACACAGAGATTTTGATCAGGTTCATACAATTTCTTTATTCTTAGGAATCTACAGGAAGCCTTTCCTCTTGGCCTTACAACCTCCCCTGGTGAATTTAGGAGAGAAGGTGACACTGGAGTGTCGATCAGAGATTATGTTTGAATCTTCATTTTGACTTCACATAAAAATGGAACAATCAAGGACTCTTTCAAACTTTCTGCAGAACATCATCGTTGGAATTTCAAGGCCAAATTCTCAATAGGTCCTGTGACACCTGACCACGCTGGAACTTATAAATGCTATGGTTCTTACAATCACTCACCATATGAGTGGTCAGACTCTAGTGACCCCATTGATATAAAGATCACAGGTAAGAGGGTGCATACACGCTTTTCGTTCTCTTTGTGATACAGAAAAATATTCTCTACACTAAGAGCTGT